AACATGCATGGTAGCCTTGCTTGAGATGGTGAAGACTGACAGGAGGAAGGTGGAGATTGGCAGGAGTCCATGGGACAGAGGAGGAGCAAGGGGCATCACCTGGCATAAAAGATGGCTTCTTAGCAACCGAACTTTGGAAGCTTTCCCCACCAAGGATCATGACGATCAGAAGGACCAGTGGGATGCAGCAAGGACCTGGGACCATAGGGACGCCTTGGACCCGTGGTGGTAGCTATTGGTCTCTTTCCCCTCTTTACCATTCCTGTCACACTTTTACCTGTGGCGCGCCACTTTATGGGTACACAATAAAGTCTCACTGTTTGATTGAAGTAACAACTCCCATTTGAATTTTCTTTTGCACTCTGAGATCGCGGTAAATGAGCCATCACACGTCCACTGAGTTGAGTGGACCGTGACACCATCAAACCCATGTTTCACCAGTTTGGAGACCAGGATGTCGTGGGGCACAGTGGCAAAGGCTTTGCTCAGGTCCAGGTAAATGACATCAGTTGCTCGCCCCTCATCTATTAATGTTGTGACCTTCTCATAGAAGGCCACCAGGTTTGTCAGGCACGATTTGCCTGTGGTGAAGCCATGCTGACTGTACCCAATCACCTCTTCACTAGTCTTCTGTCTCAGCAGTGCCTCCAGGAGGATCTGCTCCATGCCCTTACCGGGCACAGAGGTGACACTGACTGGCCTATAGTTCCCTGACTGGCCTATAGTTCCCTGTTTTCCTCCATACAGATGAAACTTCAGAACTAAAAAATGCCTAGATGATTTACACACAGGAATTAGAGGCCAATGCACCCTCTTCTGTCTCCTAGTAGCTGCTGTACTTTGCATCATTTCACTGCCTCTGAGTTCAGCACCTTGTTCTCTTCAGGTCTAGACCCAAGGCCAAAGCAAGACTCCACTGACTTTCATTTATTCCTAATTTACACCCATAGGTGGACAATTAGAGTTGCCCATTAGAATTAACAACCCATGTTGTTAATTCTGCCTTCCCTTGGAATGGACTTGAAAATACAACAGCTTTGGAAAACCTGTCATTATTTTACCCTCCTCCCTCAAGTAGAGAAAGGCTAACTAGGAAACAGACTTCTAGTTTTGGTACAGCTGAGAGGACAGAAATTTGCAAAGGGGAGGCCAGGGAGTAAGGGAGGGAGTGTGAGCAAGTGTAACTCCTGACTATCTCCTCCAGTCCTTTCCTTATTCTCAGCTACTGTTTCTGCTCAGTCTGCAAGTCCTGGCCTTGTCACATTAAATAAAATATTTGTTTGAATAACTCGCTGGTTTGTGTATTGTAATTGGTTTTCAGTTACTTACCATGATTAATGAAAAAAGTTATTTATTTAACATGAAAGACAACACATGGTGATACCAGCTGAAACACTGGAAAGTCCCGAAATAATCCTACTGCAATTGTTTTTTCCTTAAAAATTTATCTAATGCAATTAAACCACAGTGGTCACTTTTTCTTTGAAGAAGTTGCTGCATGTTGAGTAGCATGAACATCCTGGTCATGCTTCAGGCAGGATCCTGTCCATTTTATTTCTTTTCCTCTTCTTTTTTTCTGTTTTTTTTTTTTTTCTTTTCCCAATACTACTTCCTCTTCTGTAGATGACTTAATTTCCTATGCAGTTACTACATACATGGGGAAGTCCCAGGAATATACAAAAGCAGCTATTTTCCATCAAACCTGATCAGTGAATGGTTTTTGATTGTATCGTGAATCGGCCAAAGGGCACGGAAAGCAAGGATTGCAATTCTGGATTCTTCCAGACTGCTGAAAACTGTGAATAAAGACCTGAGTCAACCACAAATGTTCAGGAACTCTGCTGAAGCAATGCTCAACATGGCCATTACTGAATTTTACATGTCAAGCTGCAAGGGTGGACTGTTAAATGCACAGTATAGGGATCCAGAACAGCTAGCAAGATGAACAAAATAGAGAGAGAAAGAAGGGAGAGCGATAGGTTTAGATGTGTAATATGACTGTGTATTGCTGAAGCACTCACTTGTGCTGCAGGGAGGTCCACAGGACAGGTCCTCTCGAGACAGAACTCAAAGGTGCTTCTCCTGCCTCTAAACCAGAGATTTCATCATCAGTGTGGGTGGAAAAGCATATTCACCAGCACAGGTGTTGCAACTGTACTTCTGGGGCTGCACAGAAAAAACAACAACAAACAAACAAACAAACAAAAAACAAAACAAAACAAAAAAACAACAGGAAAAGGGCTGATCATCTCCTGTGCTGTGAGGAAGCGGCACTGGGGCACAGCACAGCTCTGCCTTTCAGAAGACTTTGTGCAACTTTATGACTAATTAATAGTCCTCTGTTAAAGTGCTTGCACAGTGACCTTTGTAACACCTGCCCAGCACAGGACTGATTCAGAAAATTCACTTTGCTCTGTGCTCAGCACTTGTAGAAACAAAGAAATGCCATTTTCATTCTTGTTAACGGTGGTAAATGCCAAGCATAAACAGCTTCAGGAAAAGGGTCAGAGACAACCACACCAGTGATGGTATTTGGATCTGTAACTACATACTTTGTTTGGCCCTCTCAAGTTGTTCAGCTTGCCTCACAGAAGGCTTACAGTAGAGACTCTCACTGCCAAAATACAGATAACACTGAAGACCTAGACTGACAGACAAAGATGCAAGGAAGTCAAGACATTTTCCCTTCACAGATCAAAACTATGCACAGATTTCGTATGCAGCATCACAAGAATATAACAAAATAAGAGGAAGAATTTGCCTGAAGGAAATCTACAGCTCATGCAGGACTACTCTTTCCTGTTGAAACAAATATTCTTAAAAAAAAAAAAACAACCAACAGTTGTCACATTCAGTGACTCAGCTGCTCAGCTATTTCTAAATGATCTTTTACATGCTTGGATCCAAAATTCCAGGTGTGAGACAGCATTTCTAAAGATACCAGTGAGCAATCACTGAGGGAGAGGAGGACAGAGTAGTGCCAGGTGTTCCCCAACGGAAAGAAATCTCCCACTGCTCATAGGAGTGTCAGGGACTGTAAAGTTCCAGGATACTCACACATCAGGGAAAGTTGGGAAGTAGTACACAGAAAATGATCTTAGAAATTCCCACTTTTTCACTTGAGTACCTCAAGCTCTCTCTTGTTCTTTGCTATGCCACAGCATAACTGATGGGTAAACCTTGATTAGTGGGATTAGCAAATTTTATGCCTGTGGTAGCACCTACAGATGGATCTGAACTAGTCTGCTGTGTGACTTGGACAGGGACTTCAATGCCACACATCAGTGTCAAAAGATGGACGCAGGCTTGTCTGCATTCCCATATGTCATATATTGCTGATAAGCTCATCGCTTCTCGGAAAGCTTGTCACTTGGTAGATGTTAAGGCACTCCTATGCCTATAAAACTCAAACTGTTCAATAACTGTGTCTATTACTCTTATTAAAAAACAAAAAAAAAAAAAAAAAAAAAAGTGTTTCTTTATCTGGAGTCTACCAGATATAGTTTACAAGACTTCTATTTAAGGCTCAAGAAGGATTCTCCTCAATCAGAGGCTGTATGTATTAGTAAGTCAGCAGCTTTTAATTCACCTGCCTCTTATCTCCAAAACTAGGTCCTTATAAAGAAATGGAAACAGCAGCTCCTCTCTTTTGCCCAAATCACAAGAGTTTACAATAAAACGTGATCCTTTCATTTACGGTTCACCTTTTCTGTCTTCTTTCCGTAACCACAGAAAGAATGTTATCTTCATTGACTGTGGGTTTTTTTGGAGGCCAAGTCTTCTCACTACCTCTTAAACCAGCAGTCAAACCACAGGCTCAAAAACTCTACTCAGTTGTTCCCATTGCTCCTGATCAAGATCTGTTATGCTGTAATTGTTATGTCATCTATGATAGACTTAAGACACCTAAGCCCTTTCTTGTGTTTTAATATTATTTTCTATTGTTAACAAAAACGGTTGTACCTCTCTGACTTTATCTGAATCATCTTCCTTCATGAGCCCATCTTTGCCTTTACTTTTATCACAATCAGAACAAATGTTCACTTTACAGGGTCAAGTTTAAATTTGCAAGAAGTGCCTGAATTTATTTCAGAGGCAGAATCCTGCAGCAGCTTTAGGATTTTCCTCTGCCAAAATTCAAAGCAGCAAACAGTTCAGAAGTTTGGATTTCAGAAGAAGCAGTCACCCTAAAAAAAGATCCACCCTATTAGACAAAGTAATTCATCACGTTGTAATATAATATATTCTGCATGTTCTCAATAGTACAACAAAGTCAGTCTGGATTCTGTTGCTTATTTCAGTGATGTAAGCTTATCACGTATCAAAAATTACTGTGAGTATTTATGCAGAATTTACATCAGCATATAGAGATAGTTTTTTTAAAAAATGTAATTGCATGTAAGTACAAGGGGAGCTGATTAAAAACCAGTTCTAGTACCTAGCATTTCCACAAAATACTAGCTCTTACTTCTACAATGTCTAAAAATGAAAAAAAAAAAAAAAAATCAAAGCCTAAAGACACAGAGATGGAAAATCAGAGATCAAATGCCTTCTTCCATAAGTGGGAAGTCACAAAGTGCAACATGTTAATAACAGCACAAGTACAAAGGTACAGAAGAGAGTAATCACAAGAAATAGAGTATTACATAAAGATACAGAGATCCCACAAAGCTAAGTACAGGGAAATACTGTACCTGTTCTGTGTTCTTACATTTATTTAATTAACAAAGTGTTTTCCATTCATGAAAAGCAATTTTGTGGTCACCTAGGGCAAGGGATTTACCCACTGTCCTGTGACTCATTTTACAGCAGCATCTCGCAGGTTTGGAGTTTCCTCTGGGCTGACCTACCCACGCTACCAGGGTGCAGAGGGGAGGCCCAGGCACTATATAAACACGGCATGTCCCAGAGCACAGGCACTGGCCACCCCTGGGACTTCCAGAGCTCCCTGCACCGCAGAACCAGGCCCGAGAACCGTAAAGGAGAAACACTCTTGCATCATGACAGGCAAGGCTGTGGCTGCTCTCCTGACTCTTCTCCTCCTCTTCGCAGCTGGGACAAGAGGTAAAGAAATCCTTCTGAAAGCTCTCCTAACTAACTCTAAGTGTAAATGCTGCCTGCGGAGCTGCTCTGGTGCCTTAGAAGCACAGCAAATCACTTCTAAAACACTAAGCAAACAGAACCTGTTGTGCTTCCTGTGGAAACAGTCCCCCTTTTATTTTTCTTCTTGTTTTACAGGCAAGGCCCTGCCACGCTCAGCCATTGAGCTCCGGTGCCAGTGCATAGGCACCCATTCCAAGTTCATCCATCCCAAGTTCATAGAGAATGTGAACCTCACTCCCAGCGGACCTCACTGCAAAAATGTTGAAGTCATGTAAGTGCTTTTGCAAAATCCTCCTGCTTACTTAACAAGAAGGGAACAGAACTGACATTAAGGATGGTGTGTCTGCTGAGAGATGTGAGAAGGCAGCGGGCGCAGGCGCGCAGAAGGACAACAGCAGCGCCCATTGCAGACCATGGGCTACGTGTTATAGATTGCAGGGTGCTTTTGCCACTCTGCTTTTTTCAACACCTTGCGCCATATTTTCACCTAAACTCACAGTCATCAGACAACAAATAACTTTCTAAAACTCTGCATTCAACAAGTATATGAGAAAAGAATTAAGTTCACAGAACCATGCTAAGCAAGTGATCAAAAAATGAATTTTAAACAGCTAGGTCAAAAAATGATCACACTTCTACTTAAGTCAATGCAATTGACTTTGTAAGCAATTTGCATATAAATTATCTAATTTGATCACAACTCTGGAACTCTGACTGTAATAAAATTCCTATGGACTGGGCAGTACTGTTTCTGAATCAAGACGGAAAGATTTAGCCCTCCAGTTAAACACTGTCAGAAACACAAACCCAGCTGGGGGTAAAAAGGACCCAATTTTGAAAAGAGTGAGAGTCCTGCCCATGATTTAGTACATTTAAACAAACAGATATGAGAAGGTATGAGACCATTTAAAAAAACAAGGACTTCATGTCAGGCTACAGCCTCAACTGATACAGTTTAAAGTAAAGGAGAATGTGTCAGCATACACCTAGAATGAGAGAAAGGGGAAATTGCCATGGAATTCACTAAGTAGACCTTTTCCATTCCTTCTTTTCTCACAGAGCTACTCTGAGAGACGGCAGAGAAGTGTGCCTGGAGCCTACGGCTCCCTGGGTGAAGCTGATCATCAAGGCAATTCTGGACAAGTGAGTAATTTGTTTTCAAGGAGCACAGCTTATCGAAAACCAGCGTTTTAAACGAGCTAGGAAACGTTGTAAAACGTTTAAACTTCCATCCCCTCAGGCAGTCACTACAGTTTGGGCACTAAGCGGGACAAAGGGTGCGACTGCTCCGAGCTTTAATTACAGCGACAGGTTCAACCCTTGCCGTGCCACACACCCTGTGTCAATGCTGCCTGCACAACCTGCAGCTGAACAACCTGGCAAAATCCAGGCACTAACTCACTGGGTTTGTTTCTTGCTTGCAATGGTAGAAAGCAACAATCAGCTTTTCAAAACTAGAATTTAGCATTTAGATGGGCAAAGGAAAAATCAGGTCCAAGAGGTGTCAAGCGATGCATCGAACCATGGACAAGTTCTAATAGGCTCCTTTTCAATTTTCTTTTTTTCCAGGGCAAAGGCTAAACCTGAAGAGTCCTAAGATGAAGAAAAACATCCTAACTCTCTCAGAAAGGAAAAAATGGGAGACACTCATCCAGCTTCTGACAGCTCATCTCCTCCTGCCTTCTACACTCACACTTCTAACAGCACCTAGAGTATGGATTCCCTGGTTTTGTCACTAGTTGACAACAGCACTTTAAGTCTTTCAAAGAGATCTCATTATGTAGGAGAGAAACCACTGACGGCAGAAAAAGCTGGCACAAAAAAATGGCTTGTGAAAAGAGATGGAGATGATTCTGGAGTCGTTTTTGCTAAACACAGCTGGATCAGGGCAGTGCACACTCAGCAGAGCTTTCACGAAATGCTAACAGTTTAGGAGAAGACCAACGACTCTCTCCAGGAAAGCATGGGCAGGGAGCAGCAGCTGTGCCTCAGCTGCTGCCACTCAGAGTGGGCTACTGACTGTGAGAAGGCAACTAGCAAAATTAGGAAGCAAAAATTCTGAGATATCAAGCTTTGTGCCATCATTTTCAAGATATTATTTATTGTGGATCAGTGTTTTGAAGGCGTAAAAATGTATTTTCATGTCAGCGTTTGGTTAGAAAAAAGCACTTTATTTATTGGTTATTTATTTATTTATACTTTTGCATATTTATTTAATTTTGCATAATAATATGATCTGTTTTCAAGGTTTATTTATTTGTGGGAAATATTTCTGTTTATGGACCTAATAAATGCTTGTTGAAATGTTTCCACTTCAATATTGTGTGCTTTTAATTTCCTTATTGAAATACAGAACTCAAAAAGAGTATGCCTCCTTTTCTCCCACTTTGTATCACGTAGTGATTTCTCAGAAGGGCAAGTGGAGGCTGACTGCGGTTGGGCAGATAACGACAACAGTAAAATCTTGCCTCTGGTGAGTGCAGATAGTTTCCAGTAGGAGAAATTGTCAAAATGATCTACTTTCTTCCTCTTTTCCTGCTAGACTCTGTCATTTCAGAGGTCTGGGTGATAAAATTCACAGGCAGGAAGTTATGAACAAATAATGGCCAGTCACAGAAATTCCAAGGCTATAGCAGTGGTGGTGCTCAGCAAACATGTCAGCTGAGAAGATGGCACTGAACAAGGTTTTTCTTCAACTTAAATAAGCATGGAAATCTGATAAGCATCAAGGAAGCCACTGAGCATCCTCCCTAACTCCAGTGAGCAGGGAAGACAATGTCTGGAGAAATGCTAAGCAGCAGAGCTCCACTTGTGCAGCCAGGTATGTGCCTGTGACACAGAGGTTTAGTGGAATGCCTGGGACACAAGCAGCAAACACTTGAGAATATGGGAAAGCTGAGCAAATGTTTGTATATTTGTTTTGCTTTGGGCTTTTCCATTAAGGAGCCATTCCATGTTCTGCCCAAACAGCTCGTGGCGCATGAGAAAAAGGGAGATCCTGGGACTGTTTGAGCAAGCTCTTGTGCAGGACGAGAGGTACTGGAAGCCCGCTGTGCTCCCCATGCCCCTTGCTGCCTTTCCCACAGAGCTGCCCTGCACAGCCCGCCAGACCTCAGCCTCTCAGGAGAAAGGAGGCAAAGTTTCTCAAGGGGATAGCTTTTGTTCAGACTTGTCCTACAACACTAAGCCTTCCTGTTTTCCAAGTGATTTTTACAAGCTGGCTTCTTTCAGAGATGTAATTTGGAGGGAAGCATGCCAGAAACAGCAGCTAAGAATGGGGAGAGGTGGGGAAGAACCATTTTATAGGCATGCCTATAAAAGTCTGTGTGTATCCTAAAGGACTGGTGCTGGTTCTAGTGCTTTACGAATATCTACAGAAAATGTGTAACCTTTGGCACCAGCAAAATCCTAGTCAGATTACTGGGAACTGAATCATGGCCAAGCAAAGGCTCTTCTGCTAAATTCTTGTGACCAAAACATCAGCAGGACACCAGACGGGGCCCCTGCACAGCAGCTGAGCCTTATCTCTCCTTGCTTCATCACCCCACACTGCAGCGTGATTCCGAGGCTGGCGGGCAATGATAAAATGTCACCTTCCTGACTGGTGTGTGCTACCAGGACCCCCTTCTTCGGAATACAACCCTACACTTCCAAAACCATCTTTCAGTGCTCTCAGAGCCTGCTGAAGGAAGCACCCCTTTTTACCTCAGAAAAATAAGAATGTCCAATATTTCAATGAGTAAACAATAAACACTCTAGAAATGGATGCTCAAGGAATACTTGAGATATTTCACTTATGACATGTGTTTATCTTCTGTTTTAAACATCTGTGATTATCCTAGGTGGCTGAGGTTAGAAAGAAAACTAGGTAACTTCCTCAGTGCTTATTTTAGTCACGTGTTATTACAACCCCAATTGTCAGATTCTTTCTCTTTTCACATTCTGAACAAATGAAATGTTCAGAAGAGCTTAAGTGCCTCAGTCATTTTCCACTTATCATTTCCTGCTCAACGACTAGAGAAGCTTTTCTGTATGGAATTAAGTATTTAAATCCTGTAGCCAAACAAAATTATAAAGTCCTTTCAGAGAACAACAGAAACTACTTATGCCTTGCCTTCACAAGACAGTGGCTAAATAACTTCATTAGAGTCCTGTCAAAATATAGTCCCTCAGATTGAGATGAAGAGTTCCCATAATTACATTGGATAAAAGTTTCTGTACAAGGTATTTAAAATCAGTGCAAAGAGCTGAAACGAAATTCTGTGTTTAGAGAGGGAGAAAAATGTCTCTTTTTTGGCTTGGGGAACGTCTGCTAACACTGTACTGGTTTCACAAGTGGAAGCACAGCATCGTTCGTTACAAGTAATAACCCACACAGAAGTGCGAATGGGAAGTGATGGATAGTAATCACAATTTAAAGAAATTAAAAGTACACAGCAGCAGAAGCAAGCGAGGCAATTTTGAAGTGCCACTTAACAGAATGCCCAGAGATCTGGGGTTCTTATGCAAGACTGACATCTGAGAGAACCCCCATAGTGTGCTGGAGCACACTTGTGCAGCACTCGGGCTGCTGGGAGTGCACTTGGCCCATATAAAGCCTGGTGTGAAACACAGACGAGCATGATGTCCATCAGGAGCTAAACTTCTGCACAGCAATGGATGGCAAATCTGCTGCTGCTGCTTTGGTTCTCTACCTGGTCTTAACAGCAGGGTCTGAAGGTAAGAAAACAATTTCTTAAAATTCACATAGCCAATGAATAAAGATATATATGCAAATGCAAGTGGGCTTACACTATGCTTATGTTGATGTTTTGCATCTTCAAAATTGTCATTCAGAAGTAAGAAGTATAATTTGTATTTGCATGTGTTAGGATGCTATGGCCATTTCCACAGGGAAAGTATGCTTCTGTCAGGAAACTAGTTTATTCCTCTGTCATAAGATATGCCTTACCCTAGCTTTTAAAACACGTTTGAATTAAGACCTTTTTTTCTGCATGTGTCCATACGTCTCTTCTTTTCCAAATGACAACTTTCTCCTATTTGTATTTTTATTCTCGGAAGGCAGGTTGATGATAGTGCTTCCTCAAAGAAAGAATTAGGCCGCTAGCAGAAAAGAATAAAGCATATGAGCAGATGATTGTGGCAGAAACTAGTAAACAATATGTGGGCATGGTTAATGATGTCAACCTGCTTCATTTAAGCGATGCAGTTTCGGCATAGGATCTGGTCGGGCACAAATGCTGTATGAAAAAATTTATGTATTTTAACTTAGAGCTGCAAGTTTAACTACAAGTGCATATGCACACCAGCAGCTCTGGAGATGTAACTGCTGTTGGTGTGCAGACGCAGCTTATTTTATCTGAAAGGCTTCAGCAGATCAGAGGGGCTGAGTAACAAGAGTAAGGCTGACAGCAGGGAATACTCTGCTTCACAGGAGCAAACAATGGGATAGTTAATTTACCTCAACATAACCCATTTTTGTTCTACAGGCAAGGCCCCGGTGAAGACAGAGGGAAAAAGCTTCCCATGCCTGTGCAGAAGCACCCATTCCAAGTTCATCCCTCTCAAGGCTATTCAAAATGTGAGATTAAGCCAAAGGGGACCTCACTGCAAACATGAGGAAATCATGTGAGCATTTTTGTAAACTATCATCTTGCTTTCAATACAAGGAAGCAACTTGGCATTTCACAGCCTTGTTAGTTATCTACTTCATGTGGAACTATGTACCTCCTGCAAAGCCTTGTGGACACTCCATGTAAGGTGCTAGGTCTTCTGTCCAAAGGAATGAGCTGATATCCTGCCAATGTGCCAAGCTGTTTCCAGGCAGGATTATTTTACAAGTCTCTCTATGCTAAGATCTTAATTATGACCAACAGCAGAGGAGATAATGAGATCCCTGTAACGAAATTCTGGCTGTTACCCTCTATGTCAAAATTGCATATTGAGCTTTTTCTTGTGTGGGGAGTGAGGAGCTTAAATTGTAACTCCCATTTGAGCCCAAAGTGAAAGCTATGGTAAGCTTACTTTAAAATCACATCAGGAACTTTTCACATGCATTGGATTGATGCATTTGTCTAAAGAGAAGGGAGCTTTCAGGGGTTTATGCTTTCACTGTGGTTTCATAAGCAAATAATGAGGGTATAACATACTCTCTGAGCAGGGTTGCCTTCCACCTCTTTAGTAATTGGTAATTTCAGCCAAGTTTGATTTAAAAAGATAAAAAAAAAAAAATAAATTACAAACTAAGTTCCTGAAAGGCTTACTAAACTATGACCAGACAGAGAACAGAAATAAAAAAAAAATCATCAAGCTTATTAAAAAGGTTACATCATAAGCACCTATGATGACACCACTCATTAGAAAACCAACATAGTTAAACACAAAAGTACAGGATAATAATTTTTCCCTGAGTCCTCTCAAAAATGCTAGCTGGCAAATGACATATATGACAAAGAAATGTTTGTGCCACATCCTCCAGTTACTTAATTGACAAACAGCTAAGATAAATGTGGAAAAATCGTGAGAGCAGGAGGGATCCACTTAGCCTTAACTTCTTTGTTTCTTCCTTGGCAGAGCTGAGCTGAAAGGTGGCAGACAAGTGTGTTTGGAGCCCACTGCTCCCTGGGTCCGGCTCACCGTAAAGGCTATCTTGGCCAGGTAAGTTGCTCTCTGCACGAGGACAGCTTCAGCTTCAAGCTGTTTTTAGAAGGCAGATTTTAATTTCTGAGTGTGAAAATGTCCATGGTCTTCAGGTGTTAGTAATTCTAATTCTAAACTTAAATAGTTTCCTAGCTGTGACACCCTCCCTGGGTGTTAAGCTACCCAACAGGCTTGATACACCTAAACATCTGCTCAGAGGTAGCATGATCTGGGGACCTCTTTGACACTTCCAAAAATCAAGCTCTAAAAGACTTGACTTCCTCTTTCTGCGTATCATTCAGATGTACAGCTGGCATTTCAAAACTTTCCCTGCAGTAAATGGGGACAAGCAGGTCCCTACTTGGCTCAACTTGGACGCAGCCTCATGAAATCCTTTCTGCTGGAGCAGTACTGGCATAGACACGGGATTTTTTTGTCTTTGCGCATATGTCGGTTGATGCAGTAAATGGGCATTAACAACTGGTGAGCACCTGCTGCTCTCCCTGTAGCTTGTTAATGGCAATTGTTTCATCAATACGTTTCTAAATTCGCTTTATCTAATTACAGGGCCAGAGATAACACTGAGTCACCAGTCACAGAAAAGTCAAGGAAAAATACACCTTGGAGTTTTTCAAGGATATGAAAAGAAAGCAAACACTGATGAGAATGTCAAAGACCAGACCCCCTTCTGCTTCATTACTACATTTGATTAGGTTTTTTTTTCCCCAAGATAGTTGCCCATCCTACTTATTTTGGTTGCTGCGTCTCTCTCAAACTCTATCTGTGATGGATCAAGGAGTCCAAGCTTAATGTGGTTTAGTGCTGTAAGGACAACAATAAAAATGAGAAAAGATGACAGCAAGCAGGTTTTCAGAGTCAGAGATGTACACATGAGGTATATTACGCCTACTGACCACTTCTAATTTCATCAAAGGTTCACAGCACAAACTTCTTAAAACTGACCATGTGTTTCCCCCTGCCACTTCTGTATCTTACTTCCACACTCAGAACATGCTTCCTGCCAAACTCATCGAAGGGAAACACAACTAAAGCAATAAAAGCAGCCCTCCTAGAGCAGATAAAGCCCCAGCTGTAGGTCCCTAACAATTCTTTACTTGGACTTAGTATCTCTTTGGATTTTTCATAAGGAATTGGATCAAATGAAACATTTAATTTAACCCACAGCAATTTTTAACTGAAAGCTACAATACAGAACCAACTGTTTTCAAGCAGAGCCAAAATATACATCATAAATAAACATGCACTCCTGTAAATATATACTTATACTATTGTATTTATAAACACATACACGTAAAGAGAAATCAACTGAAAATCTGCACTGCTATTTTGTGATTCCAGAGGGATTCAGGGAAGTCTAGGACTTGTCATGATCTGACTAAGGGTCGAGAACCATCTATATTGAGACACTTCAGTTTGAAAAGAAATCACAAAGTGACCTAAGCTTTTCTCCTTTCTTTGCTATCGCTTCCTCATAGAGCAAGTCAAAGCTCAGATGTTTAGGAGACATTCTGCTTTTTACATCGCTGCTCCCTACGCCGTGCTGCACTGCAAACTTCCACAAGTGTTTGCACAGTGTTATGCCCAGCCTCAAAGCAGCGGAAGCCATTATCTCTCAGCCCCTGTATTTGCCCTTTCTGCTTTCCACAAGTCAAGTGAAATGGCAGGTGAATGCCAAACCTTTTCTGGGGAAAAACACTTTGGTGGTTTCAGAAGACAGACCAGGATTTTTTCCCTCATGTGTACAACTTCTCAAGTGAGGGGTTGGAATTTGGCTAAACCAAGATGGGGGTCTTCATTTTCTTAAGAGAGAGTTCCTTTATCAACCCAAAGGCTGGAGCATTCCTCTGGAACTGGGGTGACTCAAGGGGACTGGAGCCCAGCTTTCCCCCATCCCTCATGGTGGTTTTGGTCACCAGAGCACACATGAACCCCCCTCAATGTGTTCCTGTGGTTTGGTGTCCTTTGCTACGTGCAGAGACTATAAGCTATCTCAGTCAAGATCCCAAAAGATTACCTTCTGACTTTTGTCTTCATTAGACAAGGCAATGAATCATGAAAGAGAAAAACCACTAGTTTCCATCCTGCAACACAGACAACTCAGCCTGTACCCTGCCTTAAAACACAGGCAAGGGAGGTATTTACTTCCCTTTTCAACAGGCTTTCAGTAACCAGATTGTTGCATAACTGGTGTTTTGTTCGTCACAAGCGTGCTTTTAACAGGGTTAACCACGGAAGGTCTCTGCCTGCGGCGGTATCAGCTCACTCAGCAATGCTATCCTTCTAAAGGAGCAGCAATTCCATTTGCACAAGTCATGTCTGAAGGCTGCTGGGAAAACGTGCTGCCAGAATCAGATAATCAATTTGGCATTCCCATAGGCAGAGGCTGGGACAAGATCCTGGGCAAAGACTTGGAAGGCTTTAGGGAGAATTTTAGTGAAGCACAGCACTTCCAGGAACACAGGCTAGGAGTGGCACCTGGGCTCTATCTAATGTCTCAACCTTTCTACGCTGCTATCATCTCTACTACACCCCGTCACATAGTCCCCATGAAACTCTCACATCAGGGAAACTGCAGAGGTAGAGGAGACGCTTTAGCCCTCAGAAACAGTAGTGGATTTTTATTTCATTACAAACCTCCTGCCCTTTTAGACAGATACTCTTAGCTCAGGGGCAGGGTTAATCATAGAGGTGGAGCAGGCTCTTGCCTCCACTGTTGACCTGGGGATTTCTGCAGAACCGTTAACAACACATGCAGGAAATAGCTGAGTCTAGTGGTAAGGAGGACAAACAGTCATTGGTTTTACTTGGGGATCTGAGGGGGAATTTCCTTTTTTTGCCTTGGTCATTAATAACATTTCAGTGCACGCTAAATTTAGACAAAAAAGCTGCAAATACTAGCTAAGAACAGTGTAATCTCTCATCAGTTTAATTACCCTGTGTGAGTGCATATGTATGTAGAGACAGAGAGAGAGAACCCAAAAGAAAAGAATCAGCAAAACCTCCAAGTAAACTGGTTAAAGCTCCAACATCTATAATCTGACACAAGTGAAACCAGCCTGGTCATTTCCCATAACATATACAAGGTAATACAACATAAACAACAAACCATAACTGCCAGTAGTGGGTAAAGTCCTCTCCCATTTCATGCCTTCAGAGGTCTAAATGTATTTTGCAGTAAGGCTCCCTAAGTCATACAGCTAGGGAGAAGAACCATTAGGAGGCAGAATCAGTTTCCTGTGTTGACTCGATATGCAGTAAAAGCAGGAGAGACAAACTTGGTGATATGTTTTCCTGGGCTAGCTGACAAAGGGATGGGAGACATGAATTTTCATCCCAAAGTTCCTTTTAACAAATAAGTTCATGACAAATGGTATACAGTAAACCATAATAAATTATGGGCAAACTATGAAATTATAACTATAAATAAAACATAATGAGTTACATGCTGAAGATAATTGAGCTTTTAGGAATTCCTCTGAGTTGGGGAGAGGGACCTATAAATCCACAGCCCTCAGACACATGAGGCTTTGAGGCTGGGGATGACAAGCAGCAGAAATCATCGTGGTCAAAAGGACAAAGTTGTTAACAGCACTGAAACAGAACCGCTTCTAATCATGTGCACTCCGCAGGGGTTAAAACCCTCAAATCTTCAATTAAGCAAGAGATCAGCATTTGAGCCCGAGTCTCCCCTTGAAACTGTCTCCCTTGCAAGGTAATAGTTCTACCAGCCCCAGCAAATAAACACTCAGAATTCATGCAACAAGGTTATTTGACAAAAATATCTACAGCAGTGTCATAATATTTAGTGTCATTGCCCTTTGCTAAGACCTTGGGTTACAGTTATTGACAAAGGGAACAGAAAAGACTTCGCAAAAATACCTAGATTTAAAAGGAAACAAAAGGAGGTGTATTCAGCAGGTCACGCTATTTAGTTTGCATACAAAGCTTCTTCTGTTTAACATGGGTGACGTGAAAAATGCCGGTATGATTTTCAAAGCCATTCAGAATATAATACCTGCCTCCCACAGGAAGCTTTGAACAGTGCAGCCTCAATTCCTTTACCAAACAGATAGTATTAGAGATGAATTTACTTTGTAACATGTCACTTAAATAGACAGAATGAAAAGAACAAAAAATGAAAATCCTTAACATAAAAATAATTCTGAAGTAAAATCCTGACCTGAGTGAAGCAGATTTTCAGAGATTTCAGCACTGCCTCATTTCCACTAAAAAAAAAAAATCAGAAAGTAGAAGCTATTACCAGAAACGGAGATAAGAAATCAAATATCTCAAGTCTTTTTATATCAAGATCTGGTATCCCTATGAAGAACAGTTATTATCCTGAAGAATAAGAAGTTATAACATAAACAGAAAACTGAAAGCATCATAAAGTTATATTACTAAATAAGGGTATGCATTAGAAAAAGGACAAAATTTGCAAAAGCCAACAAAAGAAATTGGAATGCATCATTATTATTTACATATTTTGCTAAATTAATACGTTATATCATTCTCAGCATTCTCAAAAGAATAATTCCTCGTCATCTAGGAAGGAATTTCACAACAGTCATGTGACTAATTTTTACTGCATCTGGGAAATTCCTGTAACGCAATCAACGTGCTAGCAGAGCAGTGGGCTCGGCACTAGGTGCTATATAAGCAAGATGATCACCCAGAGCAGACACCAGCCATCCTCCAGGACAAGAGAGCCCACAGCTCCACAGAACCAGAGCAAGAGCATCCAGAGAAAACTCCTGTCCAACCATGAACGGCAAACTCGTGGCTGTCCTGGCTCTTTTCCTGATTTCAGCAGCTCTGTCTGAAGGTCAGTAAATCCCTTCCAAGATCCACACGGCTGTAGTATTGTCCAGGCATCTTCTGGGATGCTTGTCCTTGCAGAGAGAGAGCTCTCTGTTTGTTTCAGCAAATTAGTTTCTTTGGAGAGATTTTCAGTAACTTGTCTCCAGTCAGAAATCTCCTGTGTAGCCCTCTTTCTGAAGAGTTACTGACTTCTTGTGGGAAAATTCTAAGGCTGCATCTTAAATTTGCTTTGTTTCTATGTTTTGCTTGAAGTATGTGCAGCTTCTCCTCCAGTGTTAGAATGTTTGTCTCCGTTTCCACACAAATAACAGCTTATGACCTCCTGTTTGCTACTTAATGATCATACTGCCTTCAGGGTGCAAGCTGGGAATGGAGAACACGGAATATGAACACAGAAGCATGAACAAGCCCCCAGTTAATGAAAAAACCTATGGCTCTGCCTTCCGTGTCATGGCTGGTCTGTGAATCTAGATATTAGTGACGTAACTAACTGTACAGTGTGGTCAGTACAAGGAACCACAAAACACGTGGGTTTATTTTAAAAAGATGTATTGATTTAGTTTTAAATGTACTTGGACATCAGCTCCTCTGAAACAAATATACAACTGATCTTTATACCGTGAGGGCTTAGGCAGCTTGGACAACTGCAGCATTTTTACTGACAATGTTGTTAAAATAGATGTGGTAAGATTGCCTCCCAAACCTCCATCTTCCTGTTCTGCTCACAGGTAGGGCCCTGGCAAGGATGGGAACTGAGCTCCGGTGCCAGTGCATAGCCACTCACTCGAAGTTCATCCCTCCTAAATCCATCCAAGATGTGAAGCTGACGCAGAGTGGCCCCCACTGCAAGAATGTTGAAGTCATGTAAGTAGCTGTGCAAGAGCCTTTGTCCCCTCCCCTCGGGTGCTGCAGGGGCTTCTGCACCTCATGACAAGTCCAACAGTTAGCAGGCTGACATGAGGTAGTCAGGCTTTGCTATTCTTTTGAGAGAGATGGTTTTAAGTAATCCAGCATGTTTTTCATCTTCTTTATAATCTTATGTATTCCCGAACTGATCGTTATCTACCTGTCATGGGATGTATTTAACATTTCTGGTGGTACAACATGGAATTTCAAGGATCAGTCAGCTCTTAATCCACAAGGTTTAAATCCTGCATTTCTGGATGGTTTTAGTCTCCTTAGTTGTGGAACACACATAAGAAAATGGCCAAGTCTAACCTAGAGCCGTTAGGATGAATTTATACTAACTAATCTAAAAATGTAGTATTACACTCTGTGAGTAAAATAAATCCATGTAGTAGTTTCCTGACTTTTCTTTATTCCCTCTTTTGCAGAGCTACTCTGAAGGATGGCAGAGAGGTGTGCTTGGAGCCCACTGCTCCCTGGGTACAGCTGATCATAAAGGCAATTTTGGCCAAGTAAGTCCCATTCCCTCTCAGTTGGGGTGGGTGGAGGGTAAACCCCCCCAAAAAGCCAATGGGTAGGATGTCTTAGTGATACCTTCCATTTTCTCGTAATTAAATTTAAAGAATAAGGAAACTTGCTGCTTAGTTACAGAATCAGTCTCAAGTCTTTTTGACTCTGCTGCAGGGTCCTTGTTTAAGCCAGTACGTCTCCGCTAAACCTTTGAGTACCGGCATGTCCATGTGGAGGGAAAGGAACACAGAAGTGTTCTGCTTCCTTTGAAAAACAAGGCTTTAAAAAATTCCTCTTCCCCTTACTCACAGTAGCATATGCTAAGAACTCATATTTCTGAGTTAATAAGTTTCTTGATGTGAGCAACTTGAGAAACACACGCTGCAGAACTTTCCTAGCTGGGCACCAGACACGCACACAGCGGGATTTCACCTATTGCTTTCAAAACATCAACTTGATTGCCTCTGTGCCTCAACTGAGGACACAGAATTGGAAACAAAACTCTCATCCTTAACTGTTCGTGCAATGCTAAGCAGTGATAAATATTCTTGAACCTCCTTTAAAATTATCCTCTTCCCTCACCTCTGAACAGGGCTCAGCTCAACTCTGACTCGCCGGTGTAAGAAACTCCAGGACAGAAAAAATATGGAAACTTCTCCAGGTCCTCCACCGAGAGAAACAGGGAAAGCATCACTCAGGCAGTGAACCATCTTTCACCTCCTGCATCAGTGTTCCTATGTTAATTAGGGATTATGTTACTGTATTTATTTATTTAATTGCACCTATTTAAGAAAGTCTTTCAGAGTGGTCAGTTGTCTGTGGGACATGTTGATCCTTGACACTGACAATGCTGAATGGAAGAAGTGGTTTGCTAAAGGAAATGAAGAACCTCTGGCAGCCACTTCAGCCAAACACAACCGGTTGAGTGCAATGCACTTACAGCACAGCTTGTTTACACTAAGCTTTACTATTTTGCTACTACACCAGCAAACTGGTAATTCTTCCTGCTCCCCTGGAGTGCTCTGGTATGTTGTGTCAACAACAGTCTGTGACTAGACTGTGAACTGTGATTTCTTACTTTAAAAACCTAGGCTAACAGTGGGTTTGGTATTTATTTATTGCAACTTCCTTGGTATTTATAAATGTATTTATTGAGTACTTTTGATAGAAGAGAGAAAATGATGCTAAGTTATTTAATTTCTGTTGGGTTCTCTATTCCTACTATTACTTTCTTAAGAAATATTTGCATTCACATTGCTCTGTACAAGGACTTGTTTGTACATCTCTTTAGCTGCTCCATCAGCTAATGAAAAAAAAACTGCATTGTACACACACTCCTTGTGAGAGTGTAATTATTCCTAACAATGTATTATTAAAATATTTTCTACAAAAAACATGTCTGTTATCTTTTGTTATTTTACATTTTCATTTGCTTTATTGGAATCATAGAATCATTAAGTTTGGAAAAGACCTCTAAGGTCAAGTCCACCTGTCAATCCAGCACTACCGTGACCACTAAGCACATTTGGAAACAATGTGCTTCATTTTTGCCTCTTCAGCCTGATTTATGGAACCAAAATAAAAATTTTTGGTAGATGGTACTGTAACTCAGGCAACCTGACACTGCTGAATGCAGTAACAGACTCTTAGGGCAAGGTGAGATGCTCACGCTCCGCTCTTCAGGCTATTCCCCATCCTTGGGGACGGGTGGGCTGTAGGACAAGAATCCTTATTTAAGTGCCTTCCAGACAAGTGAATTTTCCCCTCAGATGCCTAAACACTGCCAGTGTCCAGATCAGACCCAGAGCTGTAAATCTTCACTATGCCAGAAGGCCACTATTTGGCTATCAAAATGGGATTTTGTGGCCTTTACTTTGGGTACCCAAATACCAGGCATTTGCCTTTGTGTAACAACAGTGTCCTGTTCTGATCCCTGCCGTGGAGAGTACACGATGCCTGCCTGTCAATACCGGCCTGGCTCTTCCTCCCCATCATGCCCAGGCAGGGATGCTCAGCCCCTTTGGGAGAGAAGTGCTCAGGCCACATAAGAACATCAAGAAAGGATAAACTGGGGTGCCTCAAATTGTTACTATCCTAGCACCTGCTCCACGGGGGCTCTCGGAGAGCAGAGTTCTCGTGGGTGCAATGTGGCTTCCCACTGAGTCCCAGCGCAGTTCAAAGACTGCAGCATAAAATATCCATGCTTGACAATTCCCTGAAATCATCAGCTCCAAGTGCAACAGAAACCAAATGAAAGCCAGCAACACGTTGGACATCTTCAGGAAGAGAACTGAGAATAAAGAGAGAGAGCAAAGGTTTACAGCCTGTTGCTTTAAACTAGTGTACTAAACTAGTGCCTGTTTGTCTCAGGCACACACACTTTTCTTTCTCTTTTACCTACCATCTAGTCTTAAAACAGCAGGAGGATTTTTGCCAGGTAATTTTGTGATCATAACACAAGAGACCTGTCTTTGACTTGATTCTTCCTGAAGACCCTTCACAGTAAGATTGATTGTCAGTCCTCTCCTTGACCCCTATTATTTTGGCATTGGTTTGAGGCACACAGCCACTTGAATTCTAAACAATGTGCCCTGTGGCCCCACAGTTACCAGGCCTTGCAGAAGCCATAGGTGAAAACTGCACGTTTTGAAGACTCAGAGGCTATTTAGCAAGCATCTTTGTGTGTGTGCACACTGGTGTGACATACCAGAAAACTGGCCAGGCAGGTCAGGATGTTGGAACCACACTGAAAGGAAGGACGCCGAGATTTCACTGCAGCTAGCTACATGTTCTTGTCCATCTTCTCATTTTCCTGAGCTCAAGATTCTGCTCCCCTTGGTCACTTCAGAAGGCCATTGCTCATTACAGCCACCACGTGTATTCATCACCCTCCATTCAATTCTCTGCTTCCCTCCTTGCAACTAACATGGCACATGTGTTTCTGTGTCCTTCCTGTGCTCAGCTATTTTCTTGGTCCCTTCCTTCATCTTCCTTCCAAATCACTTTCACCAACAATTTCAGTTTGGGGACAAGAGGACAGTAGCAACAACCAACCAAGCAACAATCTCATGTCATTCCCACATCCGCAGTCTCTCTCCCACGCCCAGTTGCTCTAGTTCTGCTCCTGTACCAAGAGCCTTTGCAATCACAAACTCTGACTGGTTCCCTCCAATTTCAATGTTATTGTTCATGTAATTCCAGAAGTCTCTTTCTCTTTAATGTCTAAACGCTGCATACCTTAGAGGAAGTCATTGAAAGAAATACTGGAAAGTCCCAGAAAAATACCTTTACCTCTCCCTGGGGAAAACAAAGAATGCAAACACTGGTTTGCTGGCCTCCACTTCTCTGCCCATGCTGAATATTGACTAAGACAAACATCCTGATAATGTATCACATGAGTTATCCATGCTTTACTTGCTTTTGTCTCTGGATTCCTTCCCATTCTGGAAATGACTGCCTTTCTTATGCTGTTATCACATAACGTGGGAAAATCCCGGGAAAATTACACATAGAGCTGACTTGATACTGCAGCCTTGTTCCAAGTATTGCATTTATTCTTGTTTATAATAGAATATTACAAGTGACTCCAAAGGAAATGGATCTTTTGGAAATTACACGGACTGCCATGGAAACTTCTGGGTAAGCAAAGGGGCATTTTGTTTCTGTGTGCATAAGTGAAACAAGAATTTTGCCACTTATAACAGCACATCTGAGACCTCTGTTGTTGAAAACCATCATGAAAACTTGTTTTTACTATTACCTGCAGCTAATTAATTTTAATAATAACCACTAGGGCCAGTCAATGCATAGATGACTTCACAATTTCTGTGGATTTCTAGAGAGGAAGATACTATGCGTGGGAGAATTGGGAAGGTAGGCTGGATAATACCCACTCCCAGCAGTTCCATGTAAAGTACAACCTTGAGAGCATACCCCAGCCCTTGGAGCTGCACAAATGATCCAGCTGCATCCCAGTTCCTTGTCAGGACAACATCTTGATTTTCATCATCCCTGCCACATCCTGATCTCCACAGGAAAGAAACCTGGACATGCAGGGAACAGGATCAGGCAAAAGGCTTCTCTTTCCTACATCCTAGGAAGACAAAGTTGGTGATGGAAATTAAGCAGGATATAAAGATATACATATGTTCAGCCAAGAAAAGCACTGAGAACGTTCCTTAGAAAACATGAAAGACACTATGGGATAATTGCTGTCTGGAAAAAAATACTGTAAACCTTTTTTTTTCCTACTAGCATCCAGGCAAAAATAGCTTTGTATTATCTGACTTCATTTCAGCTTTCTCTTGTTTCCTAAATTTACCTCCCTGAACCCTGAATTTTGGTCAGTCACTTGGTGATTTATCTGCAGGTGTCAGTAACTAAACTGCAGGTTCTACGATGACCTATGAAGGAAAATGGGTCTTTTGAGGCGGGAGAAATGCAAATAAGAACTTGTTCACTCAGCCCTGTAAACCAGAAGCCTGAGCATGTGGACTCAGAGTCTGTGAAAGGGAACAGCTCAGCACCTCAAAATAAGGCCTAAAATACGATACAAGGAAGTACAGATTCTGTGACTGATTTAAAGATGTCATACCTGAGACCACTAAAGATCTCATGAGTGCACTCTGCTATGTTTTGCATCTGGAAGAGAGAAGATAAGCCAGTTTTTAGTGCTCTGCAATATAGCAGAGGGCGTTTAGTTATGTTGAATATCATCTGCATCTAATTTTTAGAAAACAGACAGTTAGAAAATGTAATTAGCTGCAGTTGTTGCTGTTCCTCTGAAACCCCATGAGCCCCATGTGTTTTATTCTCACTTATCTTCAGGACACTGCTCCAGCTGGGACTCTGCTGAGGGTTTGGCAGCTATGTTTGTTTGTGTGCAGCCTTTATTTAAGTAGCACTCACAGTTTTTCAGCTCTGACTCAGCTCTTCACAAACAAGAGCGCAGCTGAGCTCTTCCAAGCAAGCCAGAGTTCACTGGAAGCTCAGTATCTTATTTGGGGTTCATCTGCTTGCTGCAGGCTGCACAGATACCTCAGCATTGACCCTGTATGCAGTAAGAAAAACTGTGAAGATTTGCCAGCTCTGAAGTTTCTGGGCCATTCCTCCCACTGGAATCAACTGAGCAGGGAAGCTGACCATTTATAACTCTGACTTCTGCAGAGGCTGGCAGCTTTTCATTTTCCCTGTGTTATGGGAACCTTTTATTAGCCTGTCCCCAAGAAATTAAATATGGGAAACACTTTGTAATTGGAAGTTAATTGTCAAGGTCCCCATGTCATCCAGGAAATAGATGGAATCTGACTTTCAAGTAAAATATAGGTGAAATACAGAAAGAATAAAAACAACCCTGCCTTTCTCTGAATAATGAGGCAAGAGAAACTGCCTAGATGTATTTGGTCTGGCTGAGCTGATTCTCCCGTTGCAGCCCTCCTGGTGCAGTGCTTTTGTGCTGAGAGTTAGAAGGGTGTTGATAACACCCATGATGTGACTACCACCGAGCAGGGCTCACACAGCACCAAGGCTCTTTCTAACATTCCCCCTTCATTGGGATGTGGGGGCAGGAGCTTAGGTTGGAATATAACAAGAACAGCTGACCCGAGCTGACCAAAGGGATATT